CAGGTTGTAGTCTCCCTGTTGCTGCACACCTCACATGGTTATTCAGTCTGTGTCTGTCTGAACAATCTTCCCCTTTCTTTTCACGGCTTCTCTGGGTTTGGCCTGATGTGATGTTGATGCCATCCTAGTTCTGGCTGCAGCTTCCTTTCATTGCTAGATGAAGAGAAACAACTGGCGCTTCCTTGAAGTGATCTCAGGCTTATAAACAGTTTCATGAAATCCTGAAATAGTTATCTGTTTGTGTTTACTCTTGAGTCTTCCTCAGCCTTCTCCCCTTCCTTCTCCACCTAGCTATCTTCCCACAGCTGCCACTTCCACTTTTCCTTGTTAGTCCTTACCCCACTCGGACTCCCCACTGTGCTGAGCTGCATCTGTGATTGGCCTTCTTTAGACCCCCTCTCCCCCCCAAAAAACAAAATAAATAATTCTGGAAATCAAAATAAAAGGAAAAAGTCACATATAATTAATTATACCAATGTATCCACTCCTTTTTCCCCCATTTTCCAGGTCCTACCCAGTCTTTGTTCTTATGCATGTGTGTTTTTTATAGTTATAAAAATTAATCCGGAGACAGTAGTTGAATTGCATTTGATTCAGATTTATGAAAACAGCATTGTTCCTGTTTTAGGGTATTTGTAGAAAAGAGATTAAAATCTTCTGTGGTTTTTAATCAAAGCCCCAGAATAGTTCTCTGGTACACAGATTGATTTTGGCTTGATGAAATAAGAATTATTGGGCCGGCCCCGTGGCTTAGCGGTTGAGTGCATGCGCTCCGCTGCTGGCAGCCCGGGTTCAGATCCCGGGCATGCACTGACGCACCGCTTCTCCGGCCATGCTGAGGTCGTGTCCCATGTACAGCAACTAGAAGGATGTGCAGCTATGACATACAACTATCTACTGGGGCTTTGGGGGGAAAAATAAATAAATAAAATTATTTTAAAAAATTATTGGCAAAGAAAAATAATTTTAATTATCACTGAAATAGTTATCTAACCATGCCATCATGCTGGGCGCTATGTTAAGCAAATTAACAATATGCCTTTTTGCTCTTCAGGAGCTAATTTAAGATGAATGTTGATAACCAGAAAATAAAAAGCATAGAATGAACAGAGTTATTAACAAATGACTATGTGCATACACTGAATAGATGGGAGGATGGTTTCTCTATCCTGTCCTTCCACTGAAATATATCTGTCCTCTTTTGTCATCTTTTTCTTTAGAGCTGATTAGCGCCAGCAATGCTCTTTACATGAACTTTGGTTCAAAAACAGATGCATCTGAGTCTGTAAAGCTTTTATTTTTAAACTCTTAAAAAGTGTATTTACTGTGCAAGCAATATTATCACAGCTCTACTGGAAATAGTAAGTGCAAAAATTCATCCACAATCTCACCAACTCAAATATATGCAAAGTGAAATTGTTTTCATTTTTCCATATTCTACTGCAGTTAATCATAATATAATGGGTAACAATTATTGAGTACATACTATATGTCAAATTCCATGCTAAACACTTCAAATGAATTGTCTTTTGTATATTATCTCTTGTAATTTTTAATGACTATATCATTATAGAGTTTTTTGGCAAATTTTTTTTTGTGTGTGTGAGGAAGATTAGCCCTGAGCTAACATCTGTTCCCAATCCTCCTCTTGTTGCTAAGGAAGATTGGCCCTGGGCTAACATCCGTGCCCATCTTCCTCTACTTTATATGGGACGCCACCACAGCATGGCTTGACAAGTGGTGCGTTGGTCCATGCCTGGGATCTGAACCTGTGAACCCTGGGCCGCCAAAGTGGAGCACGAGAACTTAATCGCTGTGCCACCGGGCCGGCCACCGGGATTATTTCTTGAACAATAATTTTTTATAAACTTAGTGGGGAAAAAATCACCTCATTACCTCCAAGATAGGGCTACTGGACTGGCAGTTGTTGTTTGAGACAACATGGCTCATGAAGAGGTGACATTTTGTGCATCTCTTCTTTTAAGCTTAAATTTTGAACATGAACTAGAAGAAGAAATCTCTAGCTGAGGTCTTAATTGTTTTCCTCCCTAGTTTCTCCCTTCCCTGTTTTACCAGTATACTTAACATTTAGCATAAAAACTGGAGAAAGCACAGCCAGCTCTCTAGGAGCTAATGAGCTCATCATATGATCTCATTTTAAAGTTGAGGACACCAAGGCTCAGAGATGATCATAGCATCTTGGGCATAAGAAGGGACCTTTGAAGGCAACTAATCCAACCTTTTTGCCCCATACCCCTGATCCCACCACTTGACAATGGGAGAGATTAAAGTTATGGCCCAAGTTACACACCTGATAAGTGGTGGAGCCACAACTGGAGCCTGCTTTTCTAACACCATGTTCTTCCCAAGCTACCTCAGTACTTGCTTGGGATCTTCTTGCCTGTGTGGGGGAAGGCAGTGGGAGAATGAGTTCCTGGTAATTTCTGGAGCTACAGAGGTCTAGGTAACAATTTTACCTTTGGGCTTCCTTGCTGGCCCTGCCGAAGCCTCCGTAGAGCTGTACCATTCTGGGAGGTTCTTGATCTTCATCTTCCCTGCTTCTGGGAGTGGACCTGACCTATGCACCCCGAGGTGGGCACTTATTCCCAGCAGCCTTTGGCTTTGGAGAACTCTCCATGCTCCTTAATCCAGTCCAAGGTTCTGACTCTGGAAAAGGGTAGGGAAGGATTGTGCCCTGTGAAATCCTGACCTCATCTTGGAACCTGGAAAATCTTCCAGTGATTTTTCTTATCCCGCATCTAATTTTTCCAAACTTGTTTGAGATCAAGATAAAGCACACCCATTTACAAGGTGTGACTCCTGGCTGACGTCATTCACCAGCCACTTCTTGTACTTGAGGGTCCTAAGATGACATCTCTAGCCCAGGCTGAATCTCCCAACTGCTTTTCCAGGTCTTAGTTGGTATTTATATTCTTCTTTTCCAAAAAAAAAGAAATATTGGAGTACAATTTGTGATAGTCCGAGAACAAGCTTGATAAAAAGCTTTCATTACTAAATACAGTAACCTTTTCATGGTGCTTGTCACCTTTGATTGCTTTCAAAGACTCCTTGTGGTGACTCTTTTATCTCTCCCATAAAAACCCATATCTGGCTAAAGGCTGAAAAATAGCAAGTACGTTTCTTTCTAACCACCCTGCATTCATTTGGGGTGGAGATGATTAGAGGCACAGTTAATCGCTAGTAATATAAACCCTAAGATCGGAGCACATGGGGTTCTTTTGCTCCTCAACAGAGTGCTTTTGTAGCTAGTTTTTGAGCACAGACACATCTCCTTTATTTTTACATACAGAGCTTTCTTTGACATACAAGCCAAAAATTTACTTGAAGCAACCTAAACAGTATGAGAGAGAATGTCTGTCTGTTTTTTAAACACTGAGCATTACAGAGTATACTTACGGCATAATATAGGTATGTTCCATATAGAACAGCTGAACGTAGGCAATTTATTAAGTAGGAAGTGAACACAACATGCTTTTTAAATTCACTTACAGTATTTTGGATCCTTGATGTTCTTACCATCCAAGAGTCTCTAATGCTAGGTTTTGACATATGAATCAAATAGGATTGATAATAGAGTTTTCTTTTGTCTTAGCTACGATTTAAGAAATTTTATGTGTATATGTTTGTTTCAAAAATAATTTAAAATGGCTGATCAGAAATACATTCAGTAATGTATGCACAAAATAAAGAATTAAGGCAAACGTAGAATATGTAAGAAAATAAAATTAAGCTAATGATAAAGTTACTACAGAAATGTATCTTGTGAGGTTCACCTATTTGGTCTACTACTATACATGAGAAGTACACATGAATTTAAATGAAAACTCTAGTATTAATTATCATTCACATCTCTTTTCATTGCCCTAGAGTTCTTAACTGTGCCCAAACAACACTAACTTTTCACCAACTGTTTATTTGAGTTTATGAATTAGCAAGTCCAGTGATATCTTCCTTGACTCTTCCTGACCTTTAGTCATTTCACTTCCAATTAGCGTGTCATCCATCAGAGGTTGATGAAGGCAAAAAGATGTGTGAGTCATGCCGGCTCATTTTATTTCTTGGTTAAAAAATAGAGGCTTGGAAAGGGGTGGGGGTAGGGGGTTGGAGTAGGGCAGTTAGATGTTATTAGGACAATTTGGAAGAGAATAAAGAAGAAATATTTAAAATTTGTGATTTTTAATTATCAAAATCATCACAAGTGAAGGAATTTATATAGACATCTTGTTAAGGCAAGCTTTCAGAGAATGTCTAACATTTCTTGATATTGAAGATTCCCTACACTTACAAAATTATAAGCCTCAATGTCCAAGGTACTCAGGATCAGAAACTTCATAGAAAGCCTCTTGATCAGACAAACTTGAACACATCATTATCTAGAAATAAATGAAAAGAATGCAAAGCATTAAAGAACACAGTTGTTCAACAATATGGCAAATATATCAAACCAATAGCTTCTATGTTGCTATTAAAACTATAAAAGTTGCATAAACAGAGAAAAGTATTTATCATAAAAAATTATCATGAATAGAATATTTATGATAAAAATATGAGAAAAATGAAAACTGGTATGTAAACTATAAAATATGTAAAATATCTAAGGTAGACAAAGAATAAAGGTGGTGCATAAAAACAGTATAGTTATAGTGGGTTGACTAAGATGATGAATTTCTTTTCTTTCTCACAGTATTTTTTGATGTTTTGTCATTATCAATATAATTGAGGAGAAGAAAAGAAATGAAAACAAAAGCTTTCACATGAAGAATATTTTTTACAGATTTTACTGAATAATGTTTACTTTCGACTCGTTAAAATGTGATTTATTTTTTAAGTGTAAAATTTACAGACTCATGGCAGATCATCTAAACTGTTCTTCTTGCCATTAAAATGTGCGTTTGGGGGGTATTTCTGTGTACAGAAATGTATACAGGCAAACTCAATGATCTTCTTCTCTTCTTCATTCAAATTCTTGTTTTTCTTAGGGATTGCCATGGGAGTCTTGATTCGAGAATACAGCAAACTCTCTAATCTGGAGAAATTCTACTTTGCTTTTCCTGGAGAAATTCTAATGAGGATGCTGAAACTCATCATTTTGCCGTTAATTATATCCAGCATGATTACAGGTACCTTGAGAAAACTGATGTTCTTTGTGATTATTTAAGGAGCCGTCACTTAAGTTGTTTTCTTCTAATTATGGAAAAAATCGAAATGCATTTGATGCATCACACGCATATAGACACTCCCTCCTCACTTGTAAAGTATATGTTTGCTTGAGTGGAAATATTTCATCATTCACAAAATGGCGTTGCTTTGTGGCATTGCTCTGCCTCTGGCACTGTCCACCACAGCTCGGATCTTCATTTGACCAGCCATATGCTGTCTGGTAAGGAAGACGCCATTTTCAAATATATTATAAATAAAACTCTATCCAGGACACAGAAGGGGAAAAAAAGGCATATTTGGTCACTGAAATGTCAGCCAGTGTCCTCAGGCGAAATGTAGTTGTCAGTTTGGATCATGTTTTCAGTAGTACACTCATTTGTTTCCCAACTGCAGCCATCCTGCCCTCTACCCTCTCAGCAGCTCCTTCAGGGTCCCTCTGTCCCCTTGCCTCACCCCTTTCCATTCCTCCACAGAACTCAGAACTTGCTACATACCTGCCCTGGAAATTTGCCCAGGAGACCAAGAGCCATATACTGTGGGAAAGGTTTAGTTATAGATTTGCACCATATTTTAAATGCCTACTATTTTAAAATCTGAACTTGTGACAGTTATATTTGGAAATGATTTTCCCCTTATTGATCATTATATTACAGGGTCCCTTTAAAAAGCAAGCTCCCTTATGTAGATAGAGATTAATTTGGTTTACAAAAATGTCATTTGTCTGGGTATGGTAAGCTTCCCGGTGCATTCCACAGTTTCCTGTATTAAGTTTCTTATCTTAATTCTGGCAGTAGGTAAAAATGTGGCATGACAATCACTGGTGTTGTTGGCTTGAAAATCAGGGTTGTATGTAACTGTGTAATTAGGAGTCTTGACTTGTGCTCTTCTAGAACATTTTTCTCCACTACCACTGAGGTGACCTGGGACTCATCTCTATAGAGTACTGGACCTTGGCTGGGTAAAGGGAGGGTGGGTGTCAGGATCTGCTCAATTCAGCATCTGCATTGCTTGAAGAGCTGTAGATGTGGCTATTGAACTTTTCAAGTGTCAAACTCCAATCAGACTAGAATCCCTTGGGAGCCTTGTTCTTAACTGGTGTTGGTGTTCTTGGCTTATTAGAAACCTAAAGAGAGCATTTAATTATTTTTATTTATGCATTTAATTATGTTTAGAAATGCCTGGCTTCTTTTAGGCTCTGCAGCCTGAGGGCCAAACCAGCAGACCAGTTGTTTCTACCGTATAATGTTTGTTTATTTGTTTAACTTTAAATTATTATCAACATTTAAAATTTGGAAGATTTCATGTAAGCATCCAGATTTCTGGCTTCCTCTGAAAAATATTAAGATCAGGAAACACTGGATCCATGTGCCCACACACCAGTAGTGGTCTGGAGCTGAAAGACAGCTACTCTGTTTAGTTGGAGCAAATGCATTTGAGGATACCACAGTCCCCACCACTCCCTATTGCCTAATACCTTATCCACTTAAGTCATTTACATTACCTGCTGGCCTCTGTAGGCATTGCCATTACAACCCCTTAGAATTTTCTCAAAGTCAAAAATTCTTAATCTTTTCTTACGGTCCTTTGAGAACGTGATGAAAGCTTTGGGCTCTCTCCCAAGAAAAATATTCACAATTGTACATATATACTGTATTTTGCATGCAAGTGCACAAAGTTCATAAACCAAGTGATGAGCGATACTATTTAAATCTTTGTCTATGGAGGAAGGTATGGAAGGGTGATCCAAATTAGGCAGCAAATCCAGAACTCATGCAGTAAACCAGGTTTTAGAGGAAAAGGTAAAAATACAGGAATGAATATACTAGTTGTATAATATTGGATGTTTGAAAATATGTACTGCACTTGGCAGTCAATAACTAGTGAGGTTTTTGTAGTCTGGCTGTTTTAGATGCTAGCTCAGCCTTGCAAATCATCTAGGGAAATAATTTGCAACCCTCAGCATTCCACTCACATAGCCCAGCTGCTTTTTGAAGCTATAGCACAGGTCTGGAAATTTCTACATTTTTCCTTTACCAACCCCCAGCAGTTAAACAGGAATTAGAGAGAGCAGAACCACTACCCATTCTTTTGACATGGAGCAATAAAATGGTCAAAGATTCAGGGGACATGAACAAAGCAGGATGGGAACAATGGAGCCATATTCGTGTTTTAAATTGTCAGATTAAAAGGCAATAAGTAATGAAACTGGTGTTGGCAATGTTGTGGGTAAATGGGCTCATTCATACATTTTGGTTACTGTATTAATTGGAACAAACTTTATGAGGGGGCAGTTTGGGACATGTTCTGATCTTTCCACTTAGTAATTCTACTTCCCCAAATTTATCATAAAGAAATAATCAGAGATATGTTCAAATATTTAGGTACAAGGATGTTCATGGTACCTTTTTTTATAATGGTGATAAATTACAAGCAATCTAAATGTAAGTTAGGATTCTATGCAACTATTAAAAACTTTGGTTTGGAAACATACATATTGACATGTGGAAATGTTCCTAATACAGTCTGCAGTAGGAGGATGAAACAAAGTACACAACAGGATGTTGTGTACTACCCAAATTTTATTAAAATTTATATACATTTTTAAAAGTTGGGATCAAAATCAAATGTTAACAGTGGTTAGATCTGGATGGTAAGAACACACGATTCATTGCACTTTCTTTACCTTTACAAGGGGAACACATGTTATTTTTGTTTGATTGTTTGTTTTGTTTTTTCTTTTCTTTTTTAAGAATGGATTTTGATTTTAAGGGATAGATTCTGCTCTGTGCTCCTCTGACCTTGCCTCTGGTAGTTTCCCTGCTCCTCTCCTCCCCAGCTATGCTCCCTGTCCCTGCAGCTCAGCGCCACCTTTACCCTGCTGTGTGGTCCTTCCCCCAAACCCTGCAGTAGTTCTCAGCCTCCCCACCCAGCTCAGAGCCAAGAGGGTAAAGTGGAGGATGGCCATGGAAAATACACAGGAAGAGCAGTTTTCACGTTTCAAAAGCCTTAATAATCCGGTGTATCTATAGCTTATTTTATACATTTATTAGACCAAAGGGTGAAGCATATTGGAAGCTGAGAAAGTTGAATGAGTCCCCTAAGGATACACAAATTAGAGGTAGAGACAGCGAAATTTGAGTCCCCAGACTAATAATTTATGCTTCTGCGTAAAAGAAACTCTCTTGCAAAATTAGCAGGTAGGAAAAAAAAACGTCTGCCATCAAAGCCTCTGCTGACATAAAAATACTTACTTTATAGTTATTCTTTTTTAATGGGAAGAATCCCTCTTCATGTGATGATGAGGGTAAGATGTCGTGTTAGGGAAATTTGAATATAGACTGGCTGTTAGATGGTATCAAGAAATTGTTGATAATATTTTTAGAAGTGATAATGACATATAGTTATATAAGAAAATATCCTTTTTTTTTTAAGATGCGTATGGAATTATGTAGGAATGAAATGACATGATGTCTGGAATTTGCTTTCAAACAGGAAAAAAGAGAGAAGGCACAGTAGATATAATCTCAAGGCATTTCCAGAGACAGGCGATGTAGGCACTAACAGACAGAATCCCACCTGTAATTTATCTCCTGAGGGACACACTCATGCCATGCCGTGGAATATCTGTGCTTGGGCCCTGTGACATTTAGGTTTGTAAGCTGTATTTATATCAGAACACTAGGGAACTAGCAGGAGGAATGACTTACCAAACATGCCTGAGAATTGTGGCTGTGGAAAATCCTGGTCCAGGTATCACCAGCCAGTGAGTTTAAATTCAGGTCACATTTTCTTTAATACCCAAGTTTTGATGACTTGAGCCTCCTATGACCAGCACAGGAATGGAACAGCACCGCCACTCCTGCTCCCAGAGGTTCCCTGAGCATCTTTTGAGGATACTATCTTAGTTGTGCTCAGGATGAGGCCCCATCTCTTCCACTCCAGCCTCTTTGCCACCATTGCCTGGGCCAGAAGTGCTCCACCGGGCATAGTTGCCTCCCCTCGTGTCTCCTTTGGCTACGGACACCCATCTGATCCTGAGGAGCTCCCCACTTTGCTGCTGCATCCTAAAGTAAGAGCAAGAACTTAATTCTCCATAGCACAGCCAAGACTAGGCTGCTACTTAGGACAAACCTTTATGAAAGGCCAGGGGATGAGAGCAGGTGAAGCATCAACGGTGACATCCAGCTGCTCCCCAAAGGAGTTCTTCCAAGAGCCCCAGGGTCCCTTAAGAAGAGTGCACCTCTGCTTAGCTGTCGGCCCACCTCCAGGAGGCTAGGGTCAACTTATGCATCCATAGGAAGATGTTCCAAGCATTGTCGCACCCCATATGCCACCAACCAATACTAGGTTCTAAAAAGGAAAACTTTCGCCATCACACAGGTCTTCCTGTCCTGGCCCAGAAGCAACCTCTTCCTGGGATGATCACCATTGTGGAATATCCGCTTCAGAGGAAACCCCCCTCACAGCCACAAGGGGATGGTCTTGCCTTTGTGGGCCCCATCAGGAGACTCACAGTAGAACGGATACCATTATGCTGGTTTGTGGCATACCCACCCAACTTGAAGGACTTAGGGTCTGTCTAGGTTGGGCTGTGCCAAGTCGATGCCAGTTCCTGTGCACAGTTCCTTCTCCAGAGCAAGGTGGTCATCTTATTCCAGTCCTGTAGCATCTTATTTTGGATTTCCTATAAATACTGGCTCCTCAAGAAGCAACACCATTTTACAGCTCAGTGCATTCCAAGTTTATACCAAGGCAAGAAAGCTCCCTCCTTTCCCTCCACCCGAAGCCACTGAGTCCCTGGGTCCTAGTACTGATTCCACCTCCTGGACAAGTCATGTTACTAAACATAAGACTTTGGTAGAAAACACTTATATTCTGTTTATCAGTGACTTTCCAGTGTCCACAAAGCACAGATTGGGTATTGGATTTACATTTGTGGGAAGCTTCTCTAAAGATGAAT